ATTATTGAAAATATGAACAATCTATTTTAGGTGAAAATAAGAACAATCTATTTTAGGTGCTTAAGATTCTGGATTTCATCAGATCAAGGAAATTCATCATAATGAAAGGAGTTTATTTATTGCACATGCAGGTTATGAAGAAGGATCTCAAGCCCAAGCCTGAGCAGTCTTGAGAAGTTTATGATTGCATAACGAAGGAAATTATCACCCATGTTCAAAGGCATGTAGGGTTGTTTATATTATTTTGATGATTCGGATAGTCTTAGCAGGTGAGACGAACAGCTAAGCCACTCAAGCAGTCAACCAGAGCTATTGTTACTGATAGCTCACTTTTTTTTTCAGTTTTTTTTGGTACAAAATTGACACCGAACCGAGTTTTCGATAACCGAAAGCTCGGTTACCGACTACAAGTCGGTTTGGTTTCAGTTTCACATTTATTGGTACCGAAATTAGCGGTTTGGTATCGGTAAGAACTGTAATCGAACCAATACCACCGATACCACGCCTAATTAAAACAAACAAAACTAATGAACTCATAAATATAAAGATAAACAAGCATTCAATGGAAGACTTGTTTGCAAAAACCAATTATTCAGTAAATTGCATATTCAATGGAAGACTTTTATGCAGAAACCAATTATCCAGCAAATAGCATACTATATATACTGAGACAAATTTCTAGAGTTGCATTATGACGCACAGTACATGAAAAAAACACAGTTCATGAAACAACACAACACACAGTTCATGAAACAAAACAACACACAGTTCATGAAACAACACGACAACACACAGTTAATGAAACAACACAACAACACAATAAAAATTTTAGAGTATTAGCTATGTACCAATGATATCTTCCTGTGATTGAGAATGTTGATTTCCCTGATGTGATGGAGGATCGGGAGTGCTTTCATTTTGCTGAGTACCTTCAAGAGTCATCTCCTTCTGCTGAGTTTCATGAGTTTGAGGAGATTGGATACTCGGCATAAAAGTACTCTCCTTTTGCTGAGTTTGAGGAGTCTGAACATTTGGCAGGTTGCCCTCAAACGTGGGATTTGCAGTTTCGGTTTCTATAGACAAACCATCGGTTAATGGCAATCCTTTGTTCACTTTATCTACTCCCATATTCGTCTTCTCGGATTGCCGATTTTTATCCCTTGCTAAACTTCCTGTCTTCGTCATGTGATCTATGAGACTCTGCCGAGAATTCGCTATGAATTTTGTTCTTGAATTCCGTACTAATCCAGGAGCCATTTGAAACCTTTTGTATCAGGCAAAAAAAAAAAAAAAATATCCATCAGAATGAAAAGTAATGCATAACTGATTGATTGAGGTAAAATAGAAACAAATTGATGTAAGGCATAACATAAAGAACCAAGATACTACGAGAGTCTTCTTCCAGAACAACCGATTGCTGTATAATAGAAGGCGGATTATCTTTGAGACTTTGATAATTGTTAGCCGAAACTTTTACTTATATGAGTGAAAGGGGGGAGAGATTTTTGCTGAAGATACGGTCAAAATAATTTCAGTGCTTATCTACCTTAAATATATAAGATTACCAAAATTAAACTAACTAGTGAGCGCCAAAGCAAATTTTTTGTCCGCCAATGTTTTAGTAATCCAAAGTTCACCATAATACCCTTTTCATATCATATCTTAACACCTAAAAAACCAACAAACAGGTCGATTGATATGCGAAGAAAATGAAAGCCCCAAACCTGTGGTGCCGTGCCCGATGACCATGGGCGTGACAATGTCTCGCAAGCCTCTGCACCACCGTGAACTACGACCAGACCTCCATCGAGAAGTGGCTGTCACTCGGCCACAACACCTGCTCCGTCACCAATGCAGACCCGGCCGTCCGCCCGCACCATACCCGACCTTACCCTCACACCGCTGGAAATTTCAACCATTTCCCCAGCTTGAATCTCGTTCAATCCATAAACACGTGCAATACCATCTCCAACTGAGACCACTCGACCGATCTCATCCACTTTCAAATTCGTGTAAAAGTTGCTAATTCGACTTTCTAATAGAGTGGTTAGTTCTGCAGCTGCCTCTTCGACCTCGATCATGCACGATCTCCGTCTCCGTCCTCGTCCTCGCCGCCGATATCGAGCAGCAAGTGGCAGACGCATCATAGCGGAGGTTTCAATTCGGATTACCTCGTGAAATTTGCTCCTCAATTGGTGAATCCAAACCAATTTGCAGCCTTCGGATTAAAAACGAGTCGAGATAGTTCGACCTTAGCGGATAGCGATCTGAATTGTAGGTTTTGTTTTTTTGTGTTAGGAAGGAATTGGGGGAGAAGAACGAGATGAGATGTGTGAAAAAGGGCGAGAACGAATGTTTGGGTATAAATGATGTGATTTTTTTTTTTGTTCTTAATGGCACACTCTAAATTTTAGTTTATTAGTAAGGTTAATAAGGTAAGTAAAATAATATTTTACTAATACAATATTTGTGTATTTACACAATTGTTGAATTAGAAAGCTTTTGTAAAAAAATATTAAATTTTTATTTTTAAAAAAACTAAAATAATTTAATTTTATATAAAACATTACTTTGGGTTTTAATTAACAAAATAAGTATATCTATATATAATGTGAATGTTTGCATTCTTGCAAGATAGACATGCCGTGGGTGTTTGATTTTTCTCAATTTTTCAATTATAAGTTTCAAACAATCAATAATTTGACAAGAACAATTAAATTTGAGAACTACGATTAGTAAAAATCCAACAACAATTCAATGGCTAAAAAAATACCATGATATTGTTATTTATTAATACATATTTAGAACAAAAATATTATCTTCAATGGACGAACTACTTCTCGAGGAGCTTTGATAACATTAACACATCCTAGAAATACACAATAATAGAAGACATTAATAAATCATTGAATAACACATTATATAAACTAATATTGGACAATAAACGCACCTCGGGATTATGAAAAATACGCTCAATATAATGCGTGAATATATCAATATATTACCAAATAAAGATTAATCTTGAATCTCTAAAGATATATGCTTTCTTGATCATACCAACTAGTGTATATCCCTTGCGATGCACGGAGGAGCTCATATTTTAAACTTTTTTGTAGACTTTATTGTATATATAATTGGGCAAGTTTGTTAATGAGTTAAATAAGTTATACAAATGATTAAATAGTTAAACTATTATAGTAATTATATTTTAAGAAATCCGATTATATAAATGTGGGTAAAAAAATATATACTAATTAGTTTGTTAGGATTGTGATTATATAAAAGTTAAGATAAAATGAAATGTCACCAAAAAATATGTTCATGGTAATTATATCACATAAGGAAAAAAATAAATAATAATATTTATGAATATGTTTAAAAATTTAATTTTGAATTTCAAATAGAGTAGAAGACGAAATAATTCAACTTTGTTTTCAAAAAGTTTTTAAAGTGTTTAATATTCTGGTAATTATACTTGTAAGAATAATCTTACTATTTTAATTTTAAAAATTTTGGCAAGTTTGTTAATAAGATAAATTTGGTTAGACAAAAAATTAATTAGTTAAAATATTATATTAATTATATTTTAAAAATTCCAGTTATATAATTGTAATTGTATTAATTATTTTGTTAGGAATGTGATTATATGGAAGTTAAAACAAAATTAAATGTACCCAAAAAATCTGCTTAGGATCTTTTTCTGTAAATGTTTGAATTTAAAAATTTAATACCGAATTTTGATTATATCACATAAGAAAAAAACAAATAATAAACGTTTATTAATATATTAAAATATATAATTTTGAATTTCATATAAAGTAAAAGGTATGATAATTCAAATTTATTTTTAAAATAAAAGGTATGATAAACATTTATTGATTCTCTTTAAAACATATTAATAAAATATAAATATAAATCTAAACAATTTTTGATAAAATAGAATGTACCCAAAAAATCTGTTTGTAATCTTTCCTTTAAATGTTTGAATTTAATTTTTTCAAAAAAAATTCAAAAAATTTGAATAAGAATCATGGGCATGATTCTCCCTAAAATTCAAAAAAAAAAAAATTAATCCTTTATTGATAAAAAACGAAAAAATGAGCGGAAAACTTACATATTATTTTCTGTATTTTTTCTTCTCTCTATTATATAGTAATAGATGGGATGTTGTAGATATTATTATGATTAAATAAGAATTTTTATTAGTGTGGTATATATTTTCGATAGAATTGTAGATTTGGATTATTGAATTATTTGTTCCATACACACCGGTTTTATTAGGATATTGATATGTAATGTGTAGTAGAAAATAAAATAAAAAAATATAATGGTCTATCAATTGCTATCTAATACATTGGCGCAATTCATGCATCTTAGGATATTGATATATTTGTTCCACACACACCGGGATTTAGTAAAATATTTCAGCCGCAATTAATGCATCTTATCTTAAACTTCATTCAAAATCAGCCCAAAAAAATATAAAAACATTGGCGGGATTTAGCAAAATATTTCAAAAAAAATTCTATTATGGGTAAAAATAAAAAAAAAGTAGTGGGAGAATGATTTTCCACTTTCGGATTTTTTTCTTATTCTTTCTTAACTATATTATATAGTAATAGATTTGTGCATACTACAATATAAATTTATACAAAATAACTTAATTAATTTGCGTAAGAATGTAGTTTGTACATAACATTTTAAAATTTTACCTCTTCATCTTGGAAAATGATCTCAGAGAAATTCCTTATCTCCAAATTGTATTGGGTCTGAACAATTAGAAGTGCTCTTAATTTCAAATAGGGCTTGTTGGCCCTACTAACCGCATGTAGTCTATCAAACATTGGTTTTTTTTTTTTCTCTATTTTTTAAGATCGTGTTTCTCTGTTTTTCAGTATTGTTTTAACTGGACGAAGTGAAGAACCAGTTCTAAAGAAATGATGGAGTTATATAGGATTCTACAAATTTTTTTGTAATCTGTTTTTTTTCGTTGATTGGTGAATTATTTATGTAAAAAAATAGTGTATTATTTGCCTACCGCATAATCCGTAAGTCGTTTAGTTGATTGGTTCACAATTTTTTTTTCAATTTTAAACAGAAGATAAACATAATCGCTTGAAAAAAAAAAGAAGTCAAATATATTGCTAAAACAAAAATCGGTTTTCCCAAATCAAAAGGAACTGAAATTTATCCGATATGGCAGGAATCTCATCCAAAATAAGGAAAAATTGTATGAAAAAATTTCAAATAAAATTTTTGGGGGAAAAAAAGGATGTGAGCGGCAAAATGAAAATATTTTTCAAACATTTTTTCTTCTCTCTATTATATAGTAATAGATATATCAAGCATGAATATGTCAAGAAAAATCAATATATTATGTGTGAATATACAATGACTTACCAAATAAATATAAAATGACTTCACAAAAAACATTTCAATCTTTAACCGAGAAATGTAGGCAGGAAAAAGTTAGCCAATTTTGACAAAAATGATTGATCCATTATATAGATATTGATGTGTATAGATATACATATTAAATTTTCAAAAATTTTAAAAATCCACAATATTTTTTACCGTTGATGTTGAGATTTGATATTTTAATATTTTGTAATAATAATAATAATAAAATAATAATAATAATATATATATATATATATTTGTCCGAAATACCTAAAAATTTAAAACTAAAATAAAATAATCGAACTAAAATCTAAAAATTCAAACCAAACATTATAGTTCGATAACACTATTGTGTAGGGTTTCAGTTGCTATTTTGCATTATGAGCGCAAACTTGTCGAACCAAGAAACGAACAAACACGAATGGAAATTTTTGGTTGAATATTTAGTGAACATATTAAAAAATATAGTCGAACTTGAGCTCGAAAATCTCTAAGTGTTAATTAAAATTCCCTAACTCTCTTTTCGATAACGTTACTAACTCTTTATGAGTATCCCCTGATTAGTTTCCGAGGCCTGTCTTGATCGGCAAATTATTAGTAACCCGTTGGTTATCGATTTGTTTAAAATTGAGTTTAGTTAATGAATTTATTATTTGGAAAAAAAAAAGTTAATTAAAAACTCAATTGTAATTCTAACTCTCAATTGAAGATCCGTAACTCAACATCTAAAATCTATCCTCTTCTCTTTATGAAAATCCAAAGATTCAATTGAAAATCCTACACATTCAGCACTCACACAGAATTAGCACTCAGAATTCACACAGGATTTGAACTCAATTCGCACTCTCAATCTTACA